AAAGATAATAAAATAAAGTCAATTAAAAGTAAATAATCATGTAATGTTCAGCAGAGTTCATTCCATGACCTCAGATCCATAAAATTAGCGTGTGATCAGTTCTACTCAGGTAAGCATGATGGTAAGAAATGGGCTGAAATTTAGTGGCTATGAGATTGTTATTGCCCCAAACTGTAAATGAGGAATACTATGTAATGAATGGATATAATATAAAAAAATTATCAGATGGTCATTTTCATGGGGTTTCATGGATAACACTTTTATGGAGACATCATATCAAACATCAATTCTAACACCACATGAAGATATGTTCTCGGTATGGACGAAAGGGACAATACCTTATGTCGAAAATGTAATCTGGTTTGGTCACACTTGATGAATATTTACTTTGAAATATTAACACAAAATGTTATACTATCATTGGAGACATGCACATTTTACAGTGAGTCACGCATGAATAACAGATCATTAACAATATCCCAGACACCTACCTTGCTGGTCGCCAAATATATTCATTTAATGAATAGGTGAAACCACAATGTTACGAATGGTGCACATTTTATGAGAATAGGTTGTAAGGAGAATACATTTTTTGTTAGACATACGTTGGTGAGTTTGAAGAAACACTGACCACTACCCACTAGCCTATTAGACTCACTACCTTGTCTCTTACAGACCATGGACATTTTTAAATAGGAATGACAGAACTTTGCATTTAGTTATGTTTATCTGTGCAATATGTGAATTATAGAGGCTGTTTCTGGCACCATAAACTTTGGTTAACACACTTAATTACAGTCTGGCTAAAATCTCTCATGTTTGCTGGACTGAAAATGACACTGAATTGGCATTTTCAGCATTTTCAATCACACTTTATGGACTAGAAGTGTGTGTGTTCTTACAAGACAAAAACAAATTTTACCAGACTTGGCTATTGGCCTAGTGGGTAATTAATAAAGTTGAGGACTGTACTTCAGTTTCTCAGGATTTTGTGTAGTGTATCATTCCTAATATATATGAGAGGTCTTGTTCATGTGTTCAATGCAACTACTTGGGAGTAAAGAGTAACATTACATACTTGGGAGTAAAGAGTAACATTACATACTTGGGAGTAAAGAGTAACATTACATGAAATTGTAAATTGAAAATTTCATTTTTCATGGAAGCGTGACTTAGGCTGTGGCTATACAGTCATCTTGTCCGGAGCAGATCTCCTAAACTATACATGCTAGCTTTATCAAAGTTGGTACACATTGACATATGTCAATGTTAGCTTAATAATCTGGACATGTTATAAACTAATGCAATAATTTCAAACTACCCTTTTAGGGTTCTTCTGAGTCATGCAGACATTAGTAAATACCTTCAATAAATTGATGTAATTGAAAAAGGACATCAAAAATCAGTCTTGTTAAAAAATTTCAGGGCAAAAAGATGCATTTAGGAATACATGTAATGACATCTCTATTGATTGTTAATGGCATTGGGTTGATATTGTTTTTTTCTGTACGTTTGATATACATGTATCTGTAATCCTTATTTCTGTAAATCAGTATCTTACAAAAACCTTTTTCTTTAGGAAACATCAATGGTCTGTTATTTTTCTTAGCTTAAACAGCACCAGCTACTTTTTGGAAAGTATTTTGCTTTTCAATTCATTTTTTGAAATATAAATGGTTTAGTTTGTTATTTCAGTAGTGTTAGCTATTCTTCATTTCTGTCTTATCCACAATATAGAGAAAAGAGGTGAAATATAATATTTCATAGAAATTCTTTATTCATTTGATACCAGTTTTCATCCGGTTTTCCCCACTTTTGTGTTGAACAACAGCTATTTGAATTTCTTTTTGATGTGAGAAATACTTGGATATTTTTTTCCCCATTCTACTATTGCATTCTGTGTCACATCAGTTTTCTGTGTATCTCATCTTGTTATTTCTCCATGATAAAGTTTATTTTCTGAAAGACTTGATAACATGCCTGAACTTCTGAAGTTTTCTCTGATACCCTTTTGAAATTCTGTAATTAGTATTTCTAGCTCATGAAAGGTTTCCTTGAAATTGCTTAGTAAACCATCACTGTATCTGAAAAGTCATTTTCCATCTCACTCATTCATATCAGTTTTCAGAGCAAATAATTCCTTGATAAATTTTTTGTGTTTTTCTTTATATCTCAGCTGAGTGTTGTGTTTAATTTCTCTTTTTAATTTTTTCAAGCATTGTTAATTCATAAGTTTCCACTGTTTCTCCCTCATTTAGCTCTTGGGTTATTTATACAGTGTTGTAATTTCCTAAATCAGTTGAGGGGTTAAAAACTAAATTTCAAGCCCCATGTTACTACATAATATACTATTATCAAATTCTTGACAACACATAGGGTCATCAATATGAAAATATGTATACATTTGTAAAAGATAATCTCAAACCTTCAATAGATTTCCATTTCCACCTTTGTCCTTAACTGGATAAGGCAAAGGATAAATAGACTTCATTGACAAGAGTTTCTCTACAAATTTCATCGAAATTACATCCTGGTCAAATAATGCCCTACCGATTGTAAAAAACATGGTGTCGACCATTGTTTGTTGTACCCAATATTATTTGATCGAAGTTGTCTAGGAAGTACAGGTCAAGGCGACATAAATCTTGTCACGCTAGATTGCTGAAAATCAATGAGGCACCTGGGTAGCAGGCAATGATTGCATCAGCCTTCTGGAATCTTGTGGGCTTGTCTGACATGCGCACTGATAACAGGATGCCGCTCATTTTGAGCACCAATTCCGCCGAGTAAGGTAGGTTCTGTTGATTAGTGGTCATTATGTCGAATATTGGGAGATCTGAACCAACTCTTGTAAACATCCACTTTTAATTGAAATTATTGAATTGTATAATGATCTTGCTACTGGCCAATGCGACATTGTCTTTTGTTGGTTACCCAGCCGCATTATTCCATACTCCGATTACAAGGCAACCATTCGATTATACATTCGTGATCTAATGCAGAAGTGGAACACCCAAGAAGGCATAAATAAGTTACATGAAATAAAACCAACTATCGGTTACACTTACTTGGGTTGTCAGTCCAGATTTAGAGGTCATCATGCGACGATGTCACATTGGCCACTCCAGATACACCCACGAATATTTGCTAAAAGGTGAGGATCCTCCATTTTACATTCCTTGTGATGAGAGAATCACGGTCAAGCATGTCCTGCATTGATTTTTCAATCAGAAGGGATAAATATTTCAATGTTAAAACTGTGAAGGATCTTTTTAGTAAAATTAACTATCATTTAATCATTAAGTTTTTAAAAGAATTAGAATTGATTGATAAATTTTGATTTATATGTTTTGTGAATAGATAAATGATATTTTATAATCGGTAGAATAAATTACCAACTAAGATAGTTAGTGGCTGTCTCTAAGGGGGTTTAAGTACTGTAAAATTATTATCCTCCTGAGAGGATACGTAAGTCCCAAAACTTCCCAAGTCAATTTAGTTCTACATACCTTTTTAATCGTAGAATATTTGTTGTTTTATTATGGCTAAATATCAGTACAATCGCCAACTGCTGAAGGGATGGTATAAATCCAGCTTAGTTCCATGCAGGTAGCCAAAGTACTGTAAGTCCCCATGGTCCCTCACTATGGTGATCTACCTTCAGTTGTTGGCGATCCTCAGCCTTATTTTATTTTATATTGTACTGTCCTAATTTGAAATCCTATTTTAGAGATATACGTTAGTTTTATTTCCTATTACTGTGATATACTAGTTGGTTTTACTGTCCTTTGTCAACAGGTTTTTAAACTTTGAGCATTTGTCATGAATTCATAACTATCTTAAGTCACGATATGGCTGAAATACTGCCGCTGTGACAATAAACTTTAACTCACTCACTCACGCACTCTACAAATTTGATAACCTTGAAACTCCTCTTGACACCAACTTTTCCACTGACTGTCATCCATCTTATATCTGACTCCATCACTTCCACCTACTTTACCTGGGGTGATGACATCTTTGAGCAGATCCATGGCCTACCCATGGGCTCCCCACTCTCTCTTTCTGAAATCTATATGACCTCTTCCCAGCAACAAGCACTCCGCACGTCACCAAACAAACCAACCTACTGGTTCAGGAAGGTTGATGACACCTTTGTCATCCTTTACCAAAATTACGATCCCACTGTCCTTCTCCAACACCTTAACCAACAGCATCCCTGAATTCAGTTTACTATCGAAACTGAAAACAACTCACAACTTCCTTTCCTTTCACTTTTGTGTTGAACAACAGCTAATTGAATTTCTTTTTGATGTGAGAAATACTTGGATATTTTTTTCCCCATTCTACTATTGCATTCTGTGTCACATCAGTTTTCTGTGTATCTCATCTTGTTATTTCTCCATGATAAAGTTTATTTTCTGAATGACTTGATAACATGCCTGAACTTCTGAAGTTTTCTCTGATACCCTTTTGAAATTCTGTAATTAGTATTTCTAGCTCATGAAAGGTTTCCTTGAAATTGCTTAGTAAACCATCACTGCATCTGAAAAGTCATTTTCCATCTCACTCATTCATATCAGTTTTCAGAGTAAATAATTCCTTGATAAATTTTTGTGTTTTTCTTTATATCTCAGCTGAGTGTTGTGTTTAATTTCCCATTTAATTTTTTTCAAGCATTGTTAATTCATAAGTTTCCACTGTTTCTACCTCATTTAGCTTCTGGGTTATTTATACAGTGTTGTAATTTCCTAAAGCAGTTGAGGGGTTAAAAACTAAATTTCAAGCCCCATATTACTACATATATATACTATTATCAAATTCTTGACAACACATAGGGTCATCAATATGAAAATATGTATACATTTGTAAGAGATAATCTCAAACCTTCAAAAGATCTTCATTTCCACCTTTGTCCTTAACTGGATAAGGCAAAGGATAAACAGACTTCATTGACAGAGTTTCTCTACAAATTTCATTGAAATTACATCCTGGTCAAATAATGCCCTACCGATTGTAAAAAACATGGTGTCAACCATTGTTTGTTGTCCCCAATATTATTTGATCGAAGTTGTCTAGGAAGTACAGGTCAAGGCGACATAAATCTTGTCACGCTAGATTGCTGAAAATCAATGAGGCACCTGGGTAGCAGGCAATGATTGCATCAGCCTTCTGGAATCTTGTGGGCTTGTCTGACATGCGCACTGATAACAGGATGCCGCTCATTTTGAGCACCAATTCCGCCGAGTAAGGTAGGTTCTGTTGATTAGTGGTCATTATGTCCAATGTTGGGAGATCTGAACCAACTCTTGTAAACATCCACTTTTAATTGAAATTATTGAATTGTATAATGATCTTGCTACTGGCCAATGCGACATTGTCTTTTGTTGGTTACCCAGCCGCGTTATTCCATACTCCGATTACAAGGCAACCATTCGATTATACATTCGTGATCTAATGCAGAAGTGGAACACCCAAGTAGGCATAAATAAGTTACATGAAATTAAACCAACTATCGGTTACACTTACTTGGGTTGTCAGTCCAGATTTAGAGGTCATCATGCGACGATGTCACATTGGCCACTCCAGATACACCCACGAATATTTGCTAAAAGGTGAGGATCCTCCATTTTACATTCCTTGTGATGAGAGAATCACGGTCAAGCATGTCCTGCATTGATTTTTCAATCAGAAGGGATAAATATTTCAATGTTAAAACTGTGAAGGATCTTTTTAGTAAAATTAACTATCATTTAATCATTAAGTTTTTAAAAGAATTAGAATTGATTGATAAATTTTGATTTATATGTTGTGTGAATAGATAAATGATATTTTATAATCGGTAGAATAAATTACCAACTAAGATAGTTAGTGGCTGTCTCTAAGGGGGTTTAAGTACTGTAAAATTATTGTCCTCCTGAGAGGATACGTAAGTCCCAAAACTTCCCAAGTCAATTTAGTTCTACATACCTTTTTAATCGTAGAATATTTGTTGTTTTATTATGGCTAAATATCAGTACAATCGCCAACTGCTGAAGGGATGGTATAAATCCAGCTTAGTTCCATGCAGGTAGCCAAAGTACTGTAAGTCCCCATGGTCCCTCACTATGGTGATCTACCTTCAGTTGTTGGCGATCCTCAGCCTTATTTTATTTTATATTGTATTGTCCTAATTTGAAATCCTATTTTAGAGATATACGCTAGTTTCATTTCCTATTACTGTGATATACTAGTTGGTTTTACTGTCCTTTGTCAACAGGTTTTTAAACTTTGCGCATTTGTCATGAATTTATAACTATCTTAAGTCACGATATGGCTGAAATACTGCCGCTGTGACAATAAACTTTAACTCACTCACTCACGCACTCTACAAATTTGATAACCTTGAAACTCCTCTTGACACAAAGTTTTCCACTGACTATCATCCATCTCATATCTGACTCCATCACTTCCACCTACTTTACCTGGGGTGATGACATCTTTGAGCAGATCCATGGCCTACCCATGGGCTCACCACTCTCTCTTTCTGAAATCTATATGACCTCTTCCCAGCAACAAGCACTCCGCACGTCACCAAACAAACCAACCTGCTGGTTCAGGAAGGTTGATGACACCTTTGTCATCCTTTCCCAAAATTACGATCCCACTGTCCTTCTCCAACACCTTAACCAACAGCATCTCTGAATTCAGTTTACTATCGAAACTGAAAACAACTCACAACTTCCTTTCCTTGACGTTCTGGTCACCTGCACTGCTGACAACACTATTCAAACCTCTGTTTACCATAAACCCACACACATTGACCAATACATTCACTTTGATTCTAACCATTCTCTCAGAACTAAAACCGGCATAATCTCTACCCTTACCCGCCGTGCTATTCTTATAGTGACTAATTCAGGACAGCCATCGTCCAAATATTTAAAAAGTCCAAAACTATGTTGTCAAGACATGTGAGACTTTATTGTAATATATATATGACGCTAACCTGTAATCTTAATCACTACTGTACATCCTTATCACTACCGCATTGTACATTGACTTGTCAGACCATTAATTACTGTATGACATTTTTAACCGTCATCGGTAATCCCCCTTGGCCGTGTCTGCCATCACATCAACTGGTCAAGGAGTGCTATTGTCTGTCCATTGATGAGTCATCGCCTGTCCATTGTTGTCAAAAACTGTATATATACTTAGTATGCTCACATCTAGATGGCGAGGGATAACGAGTCCGGTATTTGGACTGTATGTTGGGACGAGCAGGATAATGCCGCTCGTAAGAAAAAAAAAGCCCTGGGGTTGAGCAGGTACTCCGCTCACCTCATATATGTCATGTATATTTGTTTGACATGTAACTAAAGAAGTTTGAACTCAACTATGCCTTCATCTTTGTCAACGTATTGAATGTACACCTCATCTTAAACATGAGCTAATTCCTCAGTCGACGCGTAATCCACGCGTTGACACTATCATTCTGTCCTCTGCCTCACCTGGACCCGAGCTCCAACACCTTCGCCACGTTTTCACCCAAATTAACAATTACCCCACTAAACTTGTTGACCGAGTCATAAAATCCACCCTCAACCCATCACCAAAACCCACCACTAACAAGCCCGAATCTGCACCCATCCACATCTCACTACCGTACATTAGCCTTACACAACACTACCCTCACCAAATACAGTTCTTATACGATGCTATCTTGTACAGTATGATCCTCACACAATGCTATCTCATGATATCTGCAGTCAATGCTATCTTCAACAATACCATCCCCACAAAATAATGTTATACAATATTACCCTCACACAATGCTTTGTTATACAATATGTATTGTGTGAGGATAGTATTTTATAGCATAGTGTTTTATGAAGATAGTAGTGTATAACATACCATTGTGTGAGGATAGTAGTGTATCAGATATTTATCACAATGCTATTTTATATAATGCTACCCTCACACAATACAATTATGTTGAGAATTCCAGATTCTGCTTTAACAATGTTTATCACAGCACCTCTTTTGTTTACAGATAAAAGTAAATTATGGCCACCAATGGGGAGGAAGAGGCAGACACTTGGATGGAATTCATCGAGAAGCTGAAGGCTGTGGATGGGGGCAAGAAGAAATCTCCCAAACCTGACTCCTACATTAAAGAGAGTGCCTCCTATGAGGTAAGCTGACTAGTTGTGGATTTCCCCAAGGAAGATCAGGGTTAAAAAGCGTATAACAGAATCGGATGGTCAGACTGGCTGATTTAAGTTGTTTGTGCATGTCACTGTATCCCAGTATCCATTATCATGATGTCACTGGGATGTCTGGACCAGATTTGATTACGTACAGACCTCCATTGTAAAGGTGGAATATTGGTAGTGAGTGAGTAAGTGAGTGAGGTTTTACACCTCTTTTAGCAATATTCCAGCAACATCATGGCAGGGACAACAGAAATGGGCTTCACACATTGTACCCACTTGGGGAGTCCCGGGTTGTGATGAGCAAACGCTATAATCACTAAGTGCGAGATTAAACAATATGATCTATTTCAGAGCCTTGCAGCGTCATTTATCCTGTGCATTAAATCTCTACTTTGTTCTAAAAACCCATTGCCCATTTAGTGTTACACCTGTCTTGTAAGATTTGGAGGGTTGCCAATTTTGTTTGGGGAGGGGAAGGGGAGAGATGTCGAGGGATTTTGTACATAAGTATATATGTTTAAAATTATGCCTAGAAATTATGGGAAGGGGAGGGGGGTTTCTCTTATTTTATACATAAATTTTAGGGTGGGGGTGGGTTCATTCACATTGTACAGGCATCTCCATAAAATCATCATCACCCCCCTAGCCATAAATCATGAACGGTCCCTATTTGACAAAATCCTTTCTATATATAAGATATCTCTGCCAACAACAGGGAGCATTGTACAATTCCAACTGTATCATGTGCATGTGTTTGTGAATCACTCTCAAATAGTGATGACACCAGGTGCTTGTGAAAAGGAATCCATCGCTATTTAACAATCTGTTACATTGTTACACTAACATTACAAGGTATCCTTGACTGCGAAGGATGAACCAGTTCAGATACTCCATTAAGCAGTATGAAACTAATATCTTCATTTCCATTCAGAATTTGCATTGTGAAGATTGTGTTCAGTGCCACTTCATAAGTTTGATGTTGGATAAAAATTGTAATACCCTAAGGTTATGGGGAGTGGCAATGGCTCACCAATAGGGAAAGTAAGCCCTCGACCATCGGGTGGAGAGAAGTAAGACTTCTCCCCACCCTACTGCCTCGGCTCTTACTTTGCCAAGCATAACCTCGGAGTTGTGCTTTACCCTACACATGAATACCAGCTTTCAGCAAAAATCATGATTTTTTTTTTCCCCAAAGGCAATCTGTTTGGAATCTGTGTGTTTCCTAGATTGTTGATGTAGTTGCTGCATGCTGATGTTGTGTACAGGTGGTGGAAGACTACGACTGCATGCTGAACCAGACTAACATCCAGAAGAACAACAACAAGTACTACGTGATACAGGTGCTGACCCGCGGTGGGAAGTACTACACCTGGACCAGATGGGACAGGGTGGTAGGTGTAGCACGATGGTGTCTTGTTACTTGCAACTTCTCGGAGTGACTGATTTGGGTTTATGAAACTTTTAGCACTAGATGAGATTTCTTTTCATCAAGTGTATTCCAAGGACTTAATTAGAATAGGAAAATCAAATTTGGTGACCACCTTCTAAGTCTAAAGGAGAGGTGCCATGCAAATTTTGACCATGATATTTAAGAATTTGAAAAATATTGTTCAAAATGTTTTCATTTTTGGAAAACATATTCGTTTGTGCAAAGGAGAGGTACAGTGCAAAGAAATGTTGTGATGTTTTTAATTTATCAAGACTTATCACAAATTACATCTGCTGAACACGGGAAAAAGTGTCACATCAAATTTGTTCAACCAGTAACTTTATAATCATTTAGTGGATTTGTTTCAGATTTAGGAAATGGCCTTTTGTTTATTGGAGTTTGACATAAATCTTCTATTTTTGTCATGAATAATCATTACTAACTGTTCATCAGTTGGGAGTTTCAGTCAGGGGTATTAGTGAGCCTTGCTTACATATTTTGGCTTGTTTGGATTGTTACTATTCTCCTAAACACTAAGGTTCTTGAATACAAAGGGACAAAACCCTCCCTACATCCATACACAGTAGTTGATTGTACAATTCCCACCATATCATGAGCATGTCTTGATGAATCACTATCCAGTGTTTGTGAGTCAAGGTAAAACCTTCTATCAAATAGTGATGATATCATGCATGTATAAAAGAAATGTTTAAAAGTTGATTTGTTACAATATTATATTTGGTGAAGTTTAACTTCAACCACTTGGTCAAAGTATCAAGATACCCTTTTGAAGAAAGACAAGAATGGAAATGTTTATTTTATATTTCGTTCCAAACTCATATTTTCAAAAAAAAATCCTTGAACCCACTAAGCAAAAAATGGTTTCAGCAAAATGATGATTGGAATGGTCGTTGTCACACATCAATGGCTTGCAGGGAATTGAACGACTACTTTTGCTTTTGACATGAAGCTCAAGTAGTAGAAGTAATGGGGGTATGAGATCACTTTCAAGAAAGGTCGCTGTAAAGCTTTATTTCATTAATAAAGCTTTGTCAGGCCCTTAGATCTCGCCCCTATCGTGCCTACTACTTTTGAATCCCCAGTTAACTTCCCGACCCAAAGGGCCACTTCCTGATCACGTGATAGCTCTATGCCGCGTTGACCTCGATATAACAGTTTAATGTGAATCGCCTATGATCTCTTTGGTGTTCGTAATAAAGGCTTGCTGGGCTTTTCGTACTCCCTGTTCTATGTACTTTTTTTTCTCGTCCTCGCTGATAGCAGACTTACAAGACTTGGATCGAATCTCTTGTTTCATTTTGTTATATTTTGTGAATTCAGAGAGGATTCAGAGAGGATTGAACGAAACTCCTCCTCTGAGATCTTACTGTCAGTGAGTGCCGTGGAAATACGCTCACTTACCGTGTTCAGCTTTGCTTCGGCCAGAACCCTGATTTCATCGTGTTTCAATGCCTTACGGTGCAATTTGCGTGATGCAAACTTAAGCACCAACCCTAACACCCCTGCCACCCCAGCTGTTATTTCAATGCCTAGCACTATAGGTGCAGCCATGATGGTAGCTAACAACCCAACACCTGCCGCCCCTAGTCCCATGCTGGTTGCCATAAGGGCAGTATCAGTCCAGTCCACGGCATTGAAAGCTCTATGGTACTTCTTATATAGTGCTTTCCGAGTGTCACGGTCTTGTTCTAGTTGGCGTTTTACATCACATAACTGTCTCAAGCGGAACCCGTCTACGGTTTCCAGGGTCTGCGCTACTTCCTCTACGACTGGGTATAGCCCCATCCTGTGTGCATATAATATATCTTACCAGATATTTTCTAATTGGGCTTTTGTTAATAGTCGTTCAACGTACTTGAGGCTTATAAGGTTTAGATCCGGGTGTACGAAGATACGGGAAACGCTAATAGGTAACTTTTGGTCTATACTAACCACAGTAATCTCCGTGGGTATTCCCCCAATTGTATGACGATACGGCAATGTATGGGGGCTAATGAGCCATCCCAATGTACTGTCACCCCAGGTAAAAGGCGCAGGCCTAAATCCTTAATAACACCCCTAAGCATGACTTCTATGATGAGTGTGGAGCCTGGTGCCAGAACTAATACGGTATCGGACCTCAACTCTGACTCCACGGATGACATTAACAGGTTGCCCGGGCGGTGGTGTATTGGGCAAGCTAGCACCTCTCCATAACTCAGTATGAAAGACGTGAGGGTGAAGCCGGTGTTCTTAATTTTGGTGACACGGGCATGTTCGTTTAAAGAGATGTAAGGTGAGGTGAGGATTATGTTGATCAGCCATTTGGGTTCTTTAAAGGATGCCAGAGGCTGCCGTATGTAGACGCCGTCTCTTAATAGCAGGACGTACGAGGCGTCTTCCTTGCCGGGCAGATCGAACCCCTCCATGTCTCCTAGATCGTTAAGTGTGACGTTGGGGCGATCGACTATTGCTGCCCGCCTATACACGTTACCTTTCAAGCGTAGGGCATACAGGCGTCTTCCTCGCCGGGCAGATCGAACCCCTCCGTGTCTCCTAGGTCGTGAGCGTAGCGTTGGGCCGATGCCGATTGGCCATTGCTATAATACTATTACGATATAGTTTCCAATTGTTTTTCTGATAATAGTTCAGGGGTGCACTTCACCCCCCATGAAGTGTATGTTGTCGGGTAGAAAGATCTTGGTTAGTGATATCGTGTCTTCCACGGCCATGATGACCCCCTGCAGACTGGTGTTGGAATCGACACCCACCTGCACGTAAACAGTGCAAACCTGATACTGGCGCCGTTTCTCCCAACCGAGTTTGACCCCCTTCACGATTTCGACTTCATCCTGCGATGGTTCCCCTAGGTAGACTTTGATCATCAGAGTGGCGTTCTCCGGTAGGCTCGCCAGGACGTTGACCACGCCAGCGAATTCAGACACCAACTGCAATGTCACGTCTTGCACTCCCGGTTTACTCGATAGCATGTGGGCTGCCATACTGGCGACTGGGCTGATGACTACACTACGCCTCTGAGCCGGGACGTAAGCCACGAGCAGGGTTCCGTTGTTCACGACTTTGTTTAGGTAGTTGTCTTTGTTATCCGTGAACACGTAGGGGGAGCCGAGCCTAATATTGAGAAACCAGTCGCCTTTAGCTGGTAACAACACCAACTTGTCACCGTCGGTGAAGACGAGCGTATATGGCTTGTTTCGGGCGACGGTAGTGCTCTCAACATCTTCTAAGTCGAACAGTTTGCCCCCGAACGATGGGTATACTATCCATTTATCATCACCGGTGTTGACTAGAGCGTACCAAGTGTTGATGACCGCTCTTGAGGTATCTACTATATCACCTAGGGCTCCACCGGAGGGGACTTCAACGCGTTTGTAAATATTGTTTTTCAGTTGCAAGGCGTACAATTTACCATCTACTCCGGGGTCGTCGAAACCGCGTGTGTCCCCGAGGTCGGAGATCCCCGCATTGATGCATTTTTTCAACCTCATCCCGGGGCCTTGTGCGCTGGTCATTTTATGTGCAGCGTTATGCTGAGGTATCCTATATTCACGGGATTATGATTTATATCTAACACCGATATTATCAGCTCAGGGATGTTGCCCCGGGTTAACCTCTTATATTGCCGCGGTGAAAATGACTCGGTTCTACCGTCGTTGTATTTCCCCGTTTTCACCGGTACGGCTCTCAGTAGTGCCCACCTTGAATGTTGTCCGTTGTGCTCACCTGGCCGAGATGAATGCACAGCTCTCGGTACGGTACTAGGTCGGGTAACTTCGTGCCTGTGACGGTAGTTGTTGGTTTTATCTCGTCAGGCGACATGCCGAGTGTCCTCGCCAATGGTCGACCGAGCCTCAAGGAGTTTCTTCCGTTGTTGATTAACACCACTGTGCCGTTTGAGTCGTTCATCTTGAGTTCGGCTCCCAGGGGCTTGAAGACCTCACCGCTTAGAGAGCACACGCTGTAGTAGCCGTCGGTTATCTGGCTGCGAGCTCCACTGACGAACAGCTTGTTGTTGCTGGCGTTGATGTTATTCCATCGCGGTAGGTAGGTGATATCGCAGAGTGCGACTTCGAGTTGACCCGACGTGTTATCAATCGCGTGCATCAGATGAACGGCCTCGCCGCTCGTTATTCCTGGAAGTGTTACGTACATGTTAGAGTATATATACCCATTATATAATAGTTTTAAAATGTACTCCCAAGGAGTGTTTTACTCCCCTGGAGTGTTTTACCCTAAACTGGACACAGATTTCCCACACAAGATCGTGGTCGCTGATGGGCTGTATTTCGACGCCCAGTTTATAGATGTGTTCAACCGGTATAAGCTTTCGGTGACTAACGTCAAGGCAGTCCACGCTTGGTTCAACAACCCGATGCAGTTCTGGCAGAATCAACTCAACTTCGCCGTGTGATGCGCTACAACGGGGTGTGGTGTGACATTGACCGACACTCTGCGTGGACCACTGAGTCAGTCTGTGTTCACGTTCCACATGTACTACCAGATCAGACGTATCCTCAATGAGATCAGCGCTCCACTCCCACAGGACAAGGTGTGGGACGCAGTAAACAACCAGTATGATAGACGGGCCTACGAACGTATTTGCAACGAATTCGAACTAAACCTGAAGACCGATTGGCGTTTGCCGGGACCGAACCACGGGTTGGGTATCCCCATCGTTCACAACATGCCCCTCGTGGATGCCAGCGAGAAGATGAAAGAATGGGGGTACAAGTCGTATCATCACCTAACAACAAATGAGTGGGATGGCCGTTACATGGCTTTCGACAACAGCAAGGATTACCGAGTCTGGAGGTTCGAGCAGGGAGAAGCGGATGACTGGAAAAAGTTCATGTTGGACATGTCGAGAGGGTTTACTCGTGCCGGTGTAATCAGGTTGAACGACTCGATTCGAACGTACGTGTGGACGCTGTTGGGTGCGCA